CATCCCACAAGACTGTGCCCATCTCCTTCGCAGCTGATGGCTCTGTCTTTGCCTTCTTTTTTGATGGAGAATGCAAATGGTGCCATTCCATACTCTGCCGTTTCATTTCAGGCTTGAAATGGTGCAACCAGCTTTCGTCACCTGTCACAATACAGAGCAAAAACTCTCACAAGAAATTCGATGACAGCATGCTGGCGAAAGGACATATCGTTGTCGGCCATTTCGTTAGGAGTGGTACTGGTCACGTGATGCAAGCTATTGACATCACAAGACACTCAAGGTTAACACAACAGCTGGTTGCACCTACCACCATACTCTCTTTCGTCTGCTGTTCCCAGGTTGCATGCAAAAAAAAGTTGCTCATGACTTTCGGTACGACCTACGTATATACTCTATCAAAAGTATTCAAACTAGGTAAGGTATTGTAATGTGACTTCCTACCAGTCAGCGCCTTAACAGTATTGCGGGTACTTTTAATTCTATCTATATATACAAGCTGAAATATACTCTCTATGTAGGGAACACAGTGACTGCACCTTTCAAGTTTTCATTGCATTATTGTTTACCCAGCAAGTTTTATATAAACATGTGTTTGTTTTTATGTAAATGTATATAATTTTGTCTTCTTATATTTTGAAAAATTTAAGATACAACAAATTGTACTATGCCATTAGGTAGTATCTTGTGTGCATCTCATATGAACCAAGTTTCATTGAAATATGCCTGTTAATTTTGGAGATACAAATATTTTTTTGAATTTAGTGCTGCTACTGCTGTGATAAGAAGACCCTACATTCTACAAGCTTCAGAATGACTGTGGTATTGGGCAGTTTAACTTATGTCAGAGCAGTGTCTCATTAAAATAAAAAAACCAGCTGCTACCATGTGTTTGTTGATTTGTCGTGGAGTGACTTATCTCTTCTTTCTGGCTTCAACTTACCAAAGATACAGTGACAGACACAGATTTAGTTTAACTTGGTCTGTTGAATCTTCAAGTTTTAACGCAGAGATTTCTGCTACTAGTTGAGATGTGTGCAGCTCATATTAATATTATCCTCATGCAGTAAGCTAAGATTAGAGTAGGTGAAATTGCTATAATGATATCTTTAGTTTATCTCATTTAGATTAAAGAAATATAAACTTTCAAAAGTTACTGCATTATGGTGATTTTGGAGCTTGAAATTTAAATATTAGTGCTTAGAGGTTAAAAACAGTGTTTATTATAGCGCTTTGTTCTTTAGTACCAATGGCTGTATTCATTGATTAAGCTTGACGTGCTGCTTGTTGAATGCAGTTGATGATTGCCATCTAAGCATACATACCAGTACTTCCTTCTGATGAATTTGATAGCCATCTAGAAATTTTAATAAATGTATCCTCCCCTGCTTGTGTAAAACCAGTGTGGTTGTGTAAGTGTAGACAGGATTTTAATATTGAATGAATTTTGTTTAATTATTTTTTTTTTTTAGACACTTTATTAATGTCATACAGCATAATTGTGTTAGATGAAGCTCATGAAAGGACCGTGCATACAGATGTGTTATTTGGAATTGTGAAGCAGGCCCAAGCACTTAGAGATGAGAAACTGTTGAAACCCTTGAAGGTAAGTGAACATATAAATTTCTTCAGTTTTTTTTACAGTTGCCCATTTTCATCTAACAAGCAAAGCATCATATTGTCATTACTTAGTGACTAAACACTGGGTTTGGTTTGGTAATTTGGTTTTATTGAACTTGTAGTAATCGTAACTACAAGTAATCATAATGCTCTTGCTAACTAGCACACACTGCTTCTCACTACAACAGCTGCTAAGTCTTCTATATTGTCACCAGGGCCCTCTGCTTCTGTTGTTGCTCACTGGCTACCATCTCATAACTACTCAACTCATGACTGACTGACTGACCAACTGCTGGCCCTTGCCAGCATTGTGATTCTTGGTTCCTAGTTCCACGGGACTCATGACCTCATTTTATAGTCTGATGGTTCTGGGAGCCCTCAGACTACCAATGGCATTTGTGCTCGCTACATAGCCTTGGGTTGGACCCAATAGAAAACACCATTTCCAACAGTTCCTCTGTTGTTGCATTATTACCTGTTGCTGCGGAAATATGTTTATTGAGTCGTTACAATGCAACAAACGAATTCCTCTGGCTCCCAGGTGTCATGTCAGAGTATTTTACATTATTAGTGATAGTTTGCCTGTTACAGGAAACACAATCAGTGTTTGTTTTCATAGGTCTTCATAAGGAGCTTCATCTGAGTTGATAATTTATCATTACATAAGGGTTCCAATCAGGGCTCCTTCTTCCAATATTGTAACAAAACATATTTCATTGTGATATTCTTCATGCATCAGCTCTTAGTTGTAAGCCTGTCCTCCCAGAAGTATGAGAACACGGCTCTGTGGAGGCTGATGGTATGGCAGTTTGAATGGGCTCTACATTGGATGGAGTCTGACAATATTTTGTGTGGAGACTGTGACCATAACCAAGGGAGATAGGTAACCTTTCCTGTAAAATTTGGCACTATGATATATGAGGAACTAACTAAGAGCTTAACTAGTGGAACATTATGATTAATGTAGGAGAAGTCCTTATTTGGTTCCTGAGTACTGTAGTGATTGAATCAGATTTGTTCACTCCAGGTGCATTGTGGATATTATATTGAAGTCATATGGTGATGCAATGTGCATTCATACTTGTATTCTGATTTGTAATTAATGTTGATGAAGAGGTTTAAAATTACACATTTTTGCTTTACAGATCCGCGAGGATTGATTCTTACCAGATGGTTCTAAATCTGCTGTTCTCTATTGCAGTTTACCTTATGTATCTCCTTTGGGATAATAAATTTTGTTATTTAGTATTAGGAAAAACTTGTCTTATAGGTTGTGTTCCATTCCCTTGTGTGCACCATGGTGGCAAGTGCTTATAGAAGGGAACATGCTTTATTTTGTAAGTAACACTGTCACATTACAAATTTTGGGGTAGTCTTTGTAACAAACCACCATTACAACGCATTCTTGCCAGTTTTGTAAATAACCAGGGTTGTTATTCTTCCAGGATGCCTTGTTGATCAGCATTTTGCATGATCATGACACACTGATGTGATAGCCTAGTTTTTCCAGCATTTTAGAGAAATTAGCAGCCTTCATCTTCAAGACAGTGGCATGCAGTGTGCTTAGCAACAGTAATTATGACTATAGGGTACTGGGAAAATCTGTGTGTTGTGATTGGAAAATGTATAGCACAGTAGGAGTGAATTTTGAAATTAAAGACCTTTATCATGATTGATTGAATTTTGGGTCATTTTCAGCTTCATAGATTATGCAGTGTGAGATGGTAGAGTAATTCTGAATAGTGAATTGATAAGAGCGAAAAAGGAAGCTGCTCTGACCTGTTTTAAAGTACTGGCCCAGCATTTGTTTGGAGGTACTGGGAAAGACCACAAAATTATCAGTCTCTGGGCTGAAAGTAAAAGCCTCCCAAATATACAGTGGATGTGTTAACCACATGTCTTGGTAAGAGGACCCTTATAAAAGCCATATCTTACCCACAACAAATTATGACTGAAGAGTTTAATGGGATGTTGCTGTTGAAGCATCCTCTCCTTTATTTCACTTTCTTTTGTAAACTGCATCTAAAGGATCTTTGAGGTTTTTCATCATCAGGTAGGAACAAATTGAATTACATCATCATTAGAATGTTACTACTGTATATTCTAATTTCAGCATGTGATGAGAACCAGATTGCCATATCAGAAATCTCGTTGAACATAGTAGAACTTTCCTTCAGTAATGTTGCTTGCTGAAGGCATGATGTGTCCTCAGAGATGTTGCATGCAGTCAGTATTGTCTTCTATGCTGGTCTAAGCTAGTAGTCAACTCTCCATATAATGGTATTTCTATAATATGTGGCAATTTCTTTTCAGGACTGTCCATAAACATTAGCAGTTTTTAAATTTTTTTTGTGTCTTTATCAATCATTCTTGTTAAAGACAAACAACACTATGAAACTCCATATCTAAAGATAATGTTTCAGTGTAATTGTTTTAGTGGAAATTTTTGGTGAATTGGAGTTTTATGTAGTGGATGATTGTTTGCTTGAATGCAATGATTAGTTGCTGCATTGTTAATGTGTTTTTGTACTGTGAAGCAGCATAGTTTGATGGGTGAAGAGCTCACATTTGGAGCAATAAGCATGAAATGCTAACAAGCTGGTTGAGATGATTATTGCAATGGCACTGGGAGACTCAAAAAATAGTGCTGTGGTGTAGTACCATTTGAAATATTGTGTGACTCCACAGTTAGGTAGCAGAAACAAACACTTATGATGCAGCATTACCAGCAGCAAAGCACTATCATACTCATTACCCACAGCTCCCTCCATGTAAGAATAGTCTTTTATAAATTCTAGATCTAAAACACATTTCTGTTTGGGTCATGTGTTCACCAATCAGGACATAAATATCCTGCTGCCTCATAGCCTGGGGCTGTGTGCTGTATGTTGTTTTTCTGCTCTCAGTCCTTTACTGTGGACACAAATGAGCAGATTTCTCCAGAAAGTTCTATAGTGTATGTGAGATATGATGTTTTCATGGGGGAAAGATTCAGTTTGTAGAGTTCTGGGTTATGACACTGTGTATTCTGTGGATGGTTACTGATATTTTAGAGGAATGAGCTGCCTCCAAATTCAGAGCACAAGATGGAGGGAACAGTCTTCAAATGTTTGTAACTAGCTACCAGATTGCATGGGGCCATAATCCAGAAGTCCACAATCTATTTATTCAGTAATGTTATACTGCATCTTATTTGGTGAATCTTCTCTCATTGGCTCACATGTTATCCATGCCTGATTGCTATATATTATTTCAGAAATTTATTGTCTTGAAATTGGTTTGAAAATTTGGTTTATGATTTCTGGAGTTTGATAAAGGTGATTATTTTGATATTCAGCTGTTTTATACTTTCACAGGGTATACTTACTAATCACCTTACTTATGTATGTTTACATTCATTCGCATGAAGTCAAGAGTTTTGTGTATAAAGGTATAAAATTCATTACTGTTATGTACAGTGTGGGTCAGCATCGATATATATGAAGAGAGTTGGAAGTGAAGAGAAAATCCTGATCATATCCTGTCATATTGATTATTAGACTAAGGAAAATTAGAATGTTTAATTTTTTCAGATTGTAGTAATGTCAGCAACAATGGATGTTGATCACTTCAGTGATTATTTTGGCAGTGTGCCTATATTATATTTGGAGGGACGGCAGCATCCAATTCAAGTTTTTCATGCACTACACAGACAAGATGATTACGTGTTCAGCTGCTTAGTCACCATATTTCAAATACATCAGGATGCACCAGCGAAGTAAGTGTATTTGGGTTGTGGTCATCTGGGTAATGGCACTGTGTACTTCTATAACCTTTAAGAGCCTAGCGACACTGTATGGAGACCTTTAAAGTGTAGCCGAGTGGGCATGCGACACCGTATGGGTACGCGCAGTCTGCGCGTGCGCATAGTGTTTTAAAATCTAATTTTAAGATAGAAATTCTTGTTCTACTTACATTATTTTTGGGCACCAGCTTTATAAGTAGACAGTCTTCCCTCCTGCATCATCTAACTGAATGCAGAGTCCGACGTCACAATTCATGCACTTTGTCCAGATGTAACCCCGTTTCCCACATGAAGAGCACACACGACACCTCAGTCTCATATTAGAGGAAGTCCGCCAGTGATGTTGAGTGGCCTCCTCTAATTGTAACGCTTATAAAACATCACAATTTCAACTATCCACCGTGACCTCATTTCGCATGGAAGAAGCCGAAATTGAGAGGCAGCTGATAAATGACGCCAATTCAGACTGCGGTACAGACGACTCTGAAAGTGGTGAGGAAGCAGGGGGCTAGGCTTGAATGTTCTAGCAGTGCGGGGCTATTCCAAGAACAGTACCTCTGTGTGGCTAGTCTGAGATATACACAGTCAGAGTTTCTGACTTCAGCCACACTCGTGCATACAGAAAAGTTCTGACATGACTGGAGAATGTGCAATACAAACATAAATTTCCACAACATTATATTTAAGCATCCTGTTGCACTCCATACGATAAATGATATAAACTCCGTCTCAAGTGCAAACAGTATATTTTGTGTCTTTGATCTTGCTCCCTACACTACATGTTTCGGCCTCAGACGGCCATCATCAGGTGTATAACACTCACGTCGCTGTCACACTGCACCCAGTTCAAAAATTAACACGTNGAAACTGTATGCATAAGCGGCCTCCGTAGTCTAGAGGTAACGTTCCCACCTCATGACTCGTGGTACGTGGGTTCAAATACCCACCGGAGGTCGTCAAATTTTTAAGGGCGGAAAAATTCAGCGAACAAGTCCTCTGGGAGGGACTTTAAGCTGTGTGTCCCGTGTCATAACTTTATGGCATGTAAAAGAACCTCATATCCCCAAAGGGGATCACTGAGCCCAACAATAGCCTCCAAGGCCTCCGATAGATGGGGGAAGGATTATAGACACCGCTAAGCAAGTAGCCGAACTCGCTTGCTCGGCGGGACTGATAGTACGCACCATTTATCAGTAGGGTAAAGAGACTGGCAGAATATGATAGAGGGAAGCACAATAGATCAAACTGGTCGCGGTGCATGGGGAAACCCACCCTCTCTAAATAACTAACTAACTAACTGTATGCATATTTGTGGACAGACACTCGAAATTGGGGAAAATTTTTTTCTGGAATCAGTGTAACCATTTTTACAGATTTTAAAATCTGTAAATTACAATATCTGGTTCTATATTCTTTCTAGATAAAAGCAGCATTTATTTCATTCATTTATCACAGAAATTGTAGAAATCACAGCATTTTCAGTAACATGCTTACAATTTTTAATACTCTACAATGGCGGGCATTTAAATAAAGTCCGGCCTGCTGCCATTACCGGAATTTAAATGGCCCATCTCTTAAAGGATAAGTGGTGTCAGTGTTTGTGAGAAACCTGTTGCCACATTCATTTTTGTTCTGAAGATGGGAATAACATGTTTCTCTGAAATGGTGATAACCACCACTGAAACTACACAGTGTTGCAAGTGATTTTATGATGAATTCAGCATGTGTCTTACATATCTTTACTATATGTATATGTATGTATGCATTAAAATGATGTGTGTAGATGTTATAGGCCAGTCGAGCCTGTCACTTTACTTGATTGGTGGGTTTTTAGTTGAGTCAGCTGTGAGCTTGACTGTTTATCTGCAACACAGCAAACAAGAACTCATATTGAAACTCATAAACTAAGTTTAAAAATCTTGTAACCTAAAGTGTGGTAGTGATGTTTCCTCCACACCAAACACAATGTGTGTACTACAGTAATGATGCACTTTATTCCATACAGTTGAGCCCATCTGTACATAATACAGTGCCACCTTCATTTAACATACCTCAGTTTTAGGTTTTTCTGCATTTGCCATTCAGTTTCAGTGATCCCAAGTTGGTCTCATTGTTAAATTTCCTGTATTTCAGATTTTCTTTAATTTGATGTCCAAATCCTCTGATTCCCCCCAAAAAATTAAATGGGGGTTTAATTTTATTTCATAATTGAATTCAATACCTGGTTATTAGAAATTGTAATTCCAGGACTGTTAGTTTTAGAACAGAGTGCTGAGAACATTATTTTAATTCTAAGCAGAAGTAACAGAAGGACACAGAAAATTATGTATGAGGAAGTTTTTATCATTCTTACTTTTCATTAAATACTGTATTATTATGGTGTTAAATCAATGAGGATGAGATGGAAGATGAGAAATGCATACAAATTTGTAGTTGGGAAACATAAAAGGAAGTGATCCCTGGAAAGTACTAAAAATTGATAGTATAATAAACAAATTAATTTTAATTGATGACATTATTGTCATTATATCAAGTAGCTGTAATATTAATTGAAACTGTTAGGTGTGAAATTCATAAGTATAAAATGTTACATTAAAGTTGACCTGATTTTGATGACCTGAAAATATTTAAAATATGACCCAAAAATGTGATATGCAGGGCCCGAATTTTGATGACCTGAAAATATTTAAAAAATGACCTATAATATGACTGAAAAAATCCAGAAAAATTACCTAAAGGAGAAAGAGAAAGAAATAACACTTCGCTTCCATATTATTCACATTCCAGAGAACATATGAAGAAAAATTCCCTAAAATGGCCAAAAATGACAAGAAATGCCCTTTAAAGTCCAAAAATTTACCAAAAAAATTACCCCCCAAATGAAAAAAATGACCTTAAACCTAAAAATGACAAAAAATCACCTATAAAATTTACATTTCTGTAACCAGCAGCTCATATCCAAGATTTATATATTTAAGAGCATCGCATAGGATACAAGAAAAAGAAGATGACGTCATCAAAATCCGGGCCCTGGTAATATTGATATAACAAATTAATAAAAGTGATGATGATGACAACAACAACAGTAATTCATGAGGAGTAATGGAACATTTGTTAATAACCATAATTGTTATAGTAGAACACCTCTGATTATGGCATGTCAGTTGCCAAAATCTATAAGATGAAGAACTGTGTAACCCAATTTACTGATGGTGTAGCTAAATAAACTGCAAATGAATGGATAAATAAGAAGGCTGCTACTCTGTGGCCTGGGTTAACTAGATTTGGAGAGAATAGAATAGGAACTGGGCATATTGTCCTTAGCTTCCATGTGCAAGGATTGGGGAGAGTACTGAATTTCAGAATGACCAATGATTCAACCAATATTCTTAACAGGTACACATGGATACATGGCAGATGCAGGATGACTGAACTAAATTTTCAGTTTGAATGTTATTTTTTGTTTTGTTATTGTATGAAGCTGTACCAACTCTTGGGTTACACAGATTTGTCTTGTAAGATGATTTGTTACTGTTGAAAGGTAGGATGTTTGATGTTGCTATTGTGGCCTACATTTCTTTGATTCACATGGAGGGACTGAGGAAAATCACAGTCAACACAGACAGGATTGTCAGTCTTTGACCAGGATTTAACTGGCTTAGTGCCTAAATATGACATTTGACCATTATGTTTAGCATCTGGGTTTGAGTAAGGTCTTTATCCTATGGAAGAACTAGTTATGTGTGTCATTGCTTGTGTTTATCTAATGGAAATATTTTCTTGATATTTCAGCCAGGACATATTGGTGTTTTTAACTGGACAAGAAGAAATCGAGGCTATGGCACGCAGTATTAGACTTATAGTGAAGGTGAGACCCGCCAAAAGAGATATTTGAAGCTAACTTTCTGATGATGCAACATCGAATATATTTCTGATCCACTTCAATCCAGTTTGCATTCTCACAGCCTATTTCTGAAACATTCAAATTAATTTTATTCCCCTGCTTCCTTTATGTTCTTCCAGACATACACTTTGAGAATTACCTACCAAAATTATATATATGCGTCCAGTCCAATGTGCTGCTACCCTACTGTAAGATCCGATGCAGTTTCAAGCCCAACCACTTCTGGCACTAGTTGTCACATGTTTGAGTGAGTGTAAATGGGTTTGGATTGGTAATTAGATTTGTTGACCACCTACAGATTATAACTACAAGTAACTATAACTCTCTCAAATTCACACACTCATCTGTTCGCTACAGCACATACTAAGCCCTTTTCAGTCTGGTGTGTCTTCACTACTCATTGCCTGGCAGGGGCTTCCAGTGGTGGATGTTCTCCTTTGCCAACTGTAATGTTGTGTGGAGACTCACTGTGAAGTTAGATGGGCATATGTGAGTGCTCTGTCAGCTCACAACTGTGTTAAGTGAATTGTTTAAGTACAAGTAATTTAAAAATAATGTCAAATATAAAAGTGAAGCACCATGTCCGATTATACGTGGAGATACAATTGACTAGCACTGATGATTCGCAAGAGCAATGGGTCCATGTCGACCGTACATTTTGGATCTTATTTACTGGATCAGCAAGTGATATATAAATTGCAACATCTGTGGGTAACACCCACAGGATTACTGGGTTTGTGGACCTTTTCCATCATCTGAAATTCTAGGTAGTAGAAGACATGACATTTCAGAAACTGGATGTGTTTCCGTCTTCAGGTGAGACATCCAGTTTCCAAACAGTCTCTTCTACTGCCTAGAATTCTGGAAAGTGAAGTCCATAAACCCAGTAACTCTTTAGAATCTACTTGAAGGTAACACAGTTAGCAATCAAGGGTGTAGGATAATTAAAAAATTGACCAGAAGTGGCTGTACAGTATTTGTGCCTTAAAACATCGATAAATGAACATTACATTAAATATTATCATCTGAAGTATATTTGATATATATTTCATGCAGTTGGATGGTGTTGTACTGACTGAATCACTGAGTTTGTAACTGCTGTCTCACAAACAGTGCGTCATACATAATGTTGAGATATAATTATGATCTATCTCCATGCCATATTTCACACATCTATATCTAGTAGTTAATTAGTTGTCGCAGTCAGAATGAAAGGTAAAAAGAATGTTTACACTACTGCCACCATCTTGCATGATAAATGGCATAATGATAGTGACATATTTTTTCAGTATTGCTGTACATCATTTTGGGATTCACAGTAAGTGATCCTGCTGTTGTTTCACCTCACAAGTTGTTGGTACTGATTATAGGAAATTAGAAGATATGGTGTTTGGGTGGAAGTTCTGTGAAAGGTGGTGAATGGTTCAAAAGTTGAAATGTGAGGTTGTATAGACTACAGATGAAATGCATGCACACAGACAGCATGGTGAACTTGTAAGCCTACTCTTTTCTTTTACAGAATTGAAGTATGCTTAAAAAGGTTCGTAACTTGTACTTTTCTCCAAGTACAGGGCTACTATAAATGATTCATTCGTTTTTAAAACGCTATATTTTCCAAAGTATTACACATACAAATACGATTGATATATAAAAAGAACCATAAACTCACCAGTTGGCCAGCACCTGGAATTTTGCGTCCCAATGCAGGAAGCATTGGAGGATGAAGATTTCACCGCCAAGTTCATATTCAGCAATGAAGCAACATTCCATTTATCCGGGAAGGTTAATCGTCACAGTGTGAGATTGTGGGGCACTGAAAATCCTTGTGCAGTTGTAGCACTTGAAAGAGATTCACCAAAGTTGAATGTTTTCTGTGCAATGTCAGACAAAGCTGTATGGGCCGTTTTTCTTTTGTGAGAAAACTGTGACTGGTACATCTTACCTAGATATGTTGCAGTTATGGTTGTTTCCACAACTGGCTGCTGATTCCGGGGATTTTGTCTTCCAACAAGCCGGGGCACCCCCATATTGGAACATCAATGTTCGTCGCTACCTAAACAATGAACTTCAGCATCGCTGGATTGGGCATGTTGGTGAGGATGACGTAGCTCTGTTCACTTGGCCCCCTAGATCACCTGATCTAACGCCTTGTGACTTCTTCCTTTGGGGGTACATTAAGGATCGTGTTTACATACCCCCACTGGCAAGAACACTAGTAGAGCTGAGGGAACACATCGATGCTGCAGTGATGACCATTGACAGGATGATGCTACAAAATTTGTGGAACGAGCTTAACTACCACCTGGACGTGTGTCGTGTGACCCAAGGGGCACACACAGAACATTTGTAGTGTGTGAAGAAAACTTGGTGAGTTACGGTTCCTTTTATAAACGAATCATATTTGTACGTGTAATGCTTTGGAAAATATAGCGTTTTAAAAAGGAATGAATCATTTATAGTAGCCCTGTATAATTAGAATGATCAAGTCCACAAGGATGAGATGGGCAGGGCATATAGCATGAATGGAGAATAGAAGGAATGCATATAGAATATTGGTGGGAAAGCTGGAAAGGAAGAGGCCACTGGGAACAAGATGTTCATGGGTGAACAATGTTAAAATGGATCTTAAAAGAGATAGGATTGGATTGATCTGGCTCAGGATGGGGACCAGTGCTCTTGTGAGCACAGTAATGATCCTTCGGGTTTCATATAATGCTGGGAAGTTCTTGAGTAGCTGCACAGTTGGCAGCTTCTCAAGAAAGGCTCAGCTCTATGAGTGAGTGTGTGAGTATGCTAAAAAATAAAACTGGAGTAATGAATCTGTTATTATAATGGCAACCAATCATCTGGTGAGGTGAGTACAGCCAGCTCCCAAAACACACATATTCAAACACACCTGACATTGGACAGTTTTGAACTTAGTTAGTTAGTTAGTTAGTTAGTTAGTTAGTTATTGGAGAGGGTGGGTTTCCCCATGCACTGAGACCAGTATTGGTCCATTGTGCTTCCCTCTATGATTTCTACCAGTCTCTATACCCTACCGATATTGGTGCGTACCATCAGTCCCAACCGAGCCAGCGAGTTTGGCCTCTACTGGCTTGGCAGTATCTGTAATGCTTCCCCCATCAATCAGAGGCATTAGAGACTACTGTTGGGTGGGAAGTGTCCTTGAATTTAGCTCAGTGACCTCCTTTGGAGATATGAGGTTCTTTTACGTGCCGTAAAGCTACGACACGGGACCCGCGGCTTAAAGTCCCTCCCGGAGGACTTGTTCCCTGAATTTTTCCGCCCTTAAAAATTCCACGACCTCCGCCGGGTTTGAACCCGCGTACCACGAGTCATGAGGTGGGAACGTTACCTCTAGACTACGGAGGCCGCTCAGTTTTGAACTTAGTAATGGTGCAGAGACTCAGCTGTTATCATGTACATTTAGAGAATTCAACATCTAGTAATTTCCCATGAGTTTTTGTTTCCAGAGAGGTGTATGGAACTTTTCCACCAGTAACTGAATATCAGAAGTGTTTATATTACTGTAAATTTTTGTTTGTAGGACCTGGATGGCAAATGCCCATGTCTGAAAGTTTACCCTTTGTATTCGTCACTTCCTTCTCATCAGCAATTGGATGTGTTCAGGCCCACTCCTCAGGGAATGAGGAAAGTTATTCTTAGTACAAACATTGCTGAGACATCGGTTACAATAAGTGGGATCAAATATGTCATTGACAGTGGTATGGTGAAGGTCAGGTAAATATCAGTCATGAAACTTGTACTCAGAAAGCCTTTTGGACAGGTAGATCAGGTACTATTATTAAATACAGTGTTTGCCCAAATGGAAGACAGACCAATACTGAGAAACATGTTTGTATATGCAAAGTTCTTGTGTATTAGTTCTGTACCATTTCTACAAGCTAGCACATGAAAGACAACAAATACAGTGAAAATGATTCTTCTTCACCGTTTAAAATGATTTGGTTCTATTATTTTCCAATATGGTTGTGTATTCTAAACTTTTAAAATGTTTCCCATGTCAAAGGATTTTGTGCCTAATAGCACATAACATAAGCTACATAACTAATATGTACCAGCTATATATTTTTTAGGTGTGGAAGTATCAAAATGTATGTAAATAACCAAGTTTGACTTGTTCCTTCAGTTTCCCACATTTTCATTCCCATCACACATGCAGTGATAAGATGATTATTTGGCTTAGCCTCAGAGGTTACCAGTTGGTAAGCACAGTTCAGGGTAAAGCTTCCCATTCTCTTATTATCTCAGTTGTCATGGTGAAGTGTGTTGGTCTTAATTATAATCTTTCTTGCTGTAAACCTTAAAATGATTCGTTACTATTTATAAAGCATATGAAGCATGTTTTCATCATAATTAGTTAGTAACAAAGTACAGAATGTAACCAGTAAAAAGAAACACCATCAGCTCTGCCACTGTTACCATACAAAGGTGTGATGCTTGTTGTTTTGGATCCATTAGATATGGCTAATCCTCATCCCCAGATGACCAGATGGATTCGTCAGTGCAGGTTTCACACTTTTGCTTGGTGATGGAAGCAGAACCACCTACTTTTAAACCTATTCTATAACCAAAAGTGTGAAAAGGAAAATGTCTATCATACGTGTTAATGTAATAATTCATCTTCATCACAATCCTATAGACTTATTCAGTACATATGAGCTGGCTCGTTATAGTTAGACTTCCAGCAAACATCATTATACAATAAAGCATAGTAGGTTTTAACTTTTATATGGGACTAATGAATTTAAACAATAAAAGTTAAAATTACCTTAATTTGATTTGTAAACATGTGTATGATATATCAGACTTTACCAGTGAATGGATTATTGGGATAAAATAGAAAATTATTGGGAATGGGTTATGGTACTAAATATTTAAGTTATGTCAGAAAGAAATACGTCACTGAAGTAAGTAAAGGGGACATTGTTGTGAAGAAATGTGTGATAGGAGTTGGAAATAGTGCCTTGAGGGAGGAGATTAATGATGAAACTGTATGGCCTACATTAATACGTGGGGACATTTGGCAGTCCTTCACTCTACAGACTACAGTGGGCATGTGTGTGGTTATAAAGAAGCATGGCAAAATGTTTTATAGCAGTGTTTGGCTGGATCTCAGCATGTTCACCCAGCTGAGCTGAGTTTATCTTGACTTTATATAATAGAGTAGTAAAGTGAGCCTTAATTCAAGTAATAATTTCCTTATGCAAAATTACATTTGCCCCTTGAAGATGCACAGTTTGCTTATTACTTTCAAAAACAGCTTATAAGGGCTTCATTGTATTTGCAAACATGTTATACGTTATAGTATATATTTTGTAAGTCCTTCATTGTGATCTTGAAGTGACTAGCCTCTTTTTGGGGGGGGGGTCTCATTCACTTCAGCATTCCAGTCTTATTTTTCATCTTCACTGTCTTCACAAATCCCATAATCTTTCTGAAATTTACTGTCTTCACCTTTCCAACTTCATCCAGTGTCACTGTAATATCTTTTTTTATTGCTAGTGGGGTGGGACTTACAACTCACCATGTGAAACAAAAGTGAATGAATATTAAACAGCATATAAGCCTCAAAAAAGCCCCGGTTAAGCCGCAAACTGGTTAATCCGCCCCCGGATAATCGAGAGTTGAGTGTACTACATTTCAAAAACTTCAGCCTTTAAAAGTTTCAGATAAAAAACATTGATGTGTATTTTGCACTCAAATTTAAGATTACCTATCAGTATTTTAATCTGGAAAAGAAGGAAAAAGCCTTACCATCCAGTCAGGTAAGTGCCATACTTCAGACACAGTATCTGAAGGGAAGAGACCTCATGAAATACACAAACATAGACTGGAGGATAGTATTAAAATGGATTTTAAGTTTGTTGGGTGGGGGCATGGACTCGATTTATCTGGTTCTGAATAGGGACCAGTTAACGTGTCTAAGTATTTATTGGTAAATTAATAAAATTGTCACATCATAAATTCAGGATTCCCACTTCCTGAACAATGAGATTGGTGGTACATATAGCATACATGGGAAAATGATAAATATGTACAGAATTCTAGTCAAATACCTGAAAGGAAGAACATACTTTGGATCCTCAGCCATAAATTGGAGGTTAATATTAAAGTGGGTCATAGAAAGGCTGCTGTAAGTATGTGGAATAGATTAAGCTGGTTCAAGATAGAGTCTGATGTTTGACCCTTGTGAACACTGTAATGGACCATTTTGTTCTGTAAAAGACATGGAATGTCTTTACTGGCTGAACATTTATCAGCTTCTCAAGATGGATTATCTCTGTGGAGTTCCTTAATCTGCAATATGATGGCCTCCTTATCTTCAGAACCCATCATCCAGGAACTGGGCTTGATGTATTGAAAGTCCAGAGGATATCACAGGCCCAGGCATGGCAACGTACAGGAAGAGCTGGCAGAGAATCATCGGGTTTTTGTTATCGAGTTTATACATTTCAGGTATGAGTTACTTAATTGAAATGGCAAATTAATTTACTATAGAGTGGTACAAATGACGTGACTCCCATTTGGGAGGTATCTGGCTTCCGTCTTAGCTGTCATCATGAAGATTTTTCTTCATATTTCACAGTCGTTCCAGAAATTTGCCAGGGTATTGCCTTGAAATAGACTGGCCACTGCATTCATACTGCAGTTGTACAAAAGTCTGTGAAGTGGTTAAAGAATTCTACCTCTGAATTCGCCCACCTTTCATTTGTTATATACCAACAACCTTGTTGTCTCTTGTTACTTAATTTCAGTTCTGTTAGAAAGGGCATTCCTGTGAAACCATACCTATGCTGTTTGGTAAAAGAGTAATAACATTGTTGCATGGCATTTGACTGTTTCAAATGTTCATACATTCTGTGTATTGCAAATTTGACTTTAGACCATATAAAATGATAACCTTTTCTTTTGCTGCTTCATTTGTCTTTACTCCCTCATCTGTAAAAAACACATTGTTGTATGTCTGTGTTGGTCGTTCACAGTTGCCATAACTTAATGGTTTAGCAGATAGTAATTCTGCCTCTTTGAAGAGAACAGACAAAGAAATGTGGGGTGTTGGAAATGAGTGTTTTTATGTGTAACTACGTAGTACTGTATGATATAAGGATTCCAAGTAAATAACTTAGTTCTTCGGGAAACTTGTTATTGTATCTACCAGCATGTCAAATTTGTAACATTGTGCATAGTCCTAGCATTTGATTCGAAGTTTTTGAAGGTATATATATGTATACATCAGTGTTGCTGTGTTGTTGAAAGTTTCACGTTTTTTAAGTGTGGGTTTGACATTTATGCACGTGTTTCTCAATTTTAAGGGGTTGTAAGAGTGTAATAAAGTGTTTTGTAAATATGATATTCGAGTACTTGATTCATGTGTTAGTGGTGCTGGATTTTTTTATTTATACTAGGGGCTTTGCATATTCACAGCTCAGTCGTAATGTTATAACATTCAGTATTGAAAATGGACAAAATGTAGATTTCAAGAATCTGTTTTATGGAAATGATTATAACTGATGACAGACTGTTGCTGGCTAATCAACCAGTGTGTGCATTGCTCTATCAGCATACTCTGTTACCATAATGTCAGGAAACAAGATTATGACTTTATTGTTGGAGGGATGACATATACTAAGGGCGTTCCATATATAATGCCTCTTATTTTTTTAAAGAAAACTACAACAGATACAGAAATCATAATAATGCAGTTAAATAGAGCAAGATTTCAGCTACAGTTATGCATTTTTGCCATCGATGAACAAGAGCCTGTATGCCGCGCCTGTAAAAGTCTGTGCCAGCAGAGGCTAGCCACTTTCTTACAGCTGCAATGACAGCATCGTTGTCTGGAAAATGTTGCCCACATAGTCCGTCTTTCGTAGGCCCAAAGAGATGGAAGTCTGAGGGTGCTAAATCGGGGCTATAAGGTGGATGTGGTGGGACAGTCGAGCCAAACTTCACAGTGTGCGCAGTGGTCGCCAAACTGGTATGGGGTCTAGCGTTATCGTGTTGCAAGCGAAAGGTTGTCTGCTTCTCTGGCCTGACTCGGGAAATACAGGCTTTCAGCTTAGTCAGCGTCATCTTGTAGCGTTCAGAATTGACAGTCCCTGGTCATTATCTACTGATCTGTTCGGATGAGGCACTGTTCATTGTGAGGAGTGGCAGCTGAGCAAGGATGCCCATGGCATGGCTTGTCGTGCACTTCACTTTCGCCACTGTTGAAATGCACTACCCACTGAATCACTGTGCTGACATCCACTGTATTGTCTCCGTACACCTTTAGCAAGTGTTGATGGATGTCAGTGGGTACAATTTGTTCGGCAATGAGAAATTCAATAACACATTTCTCTTTCATAAGAACTTCTATGTCAGACACCATTATGGTAGACTGCTCTGCTGTCTCTATCTGTCGCACAACAACCAAATTAACAGTACATTGGCGGCAAGGTTCAACCTTTACTACAACACCACCAATATCCAGCTCAGACGTTACATATTAACACAAAAAAATAGGAGGCATTATATACGGAACGCACCATGTACATAATAATCTAATCATTGTAATGAATTCAAGAAAGGAAATGAAAGTGGCCAGAATTGAGGTAATGCTTTTTCTTGACTGAATCTGAATGCAGTGCCAGTGAAGGTAATGAAGATGAAACAGACATGTGAAGATGGTAACACCAGTGATAAAGCTATTCCTGTCACAGGCTATGAAGGCCGATAGGGTTGTGAGACATCGAGGCTTCCACATTTTCTCTAAACAATCAGTTCACAGGTGGCGGGGAGGTTTTCAGCATTGCACACTGGCCACCCTTTACTCCCAGGAAGATTTCTGATACTCATTTCTGTTTGAGGCTGAGTCAGCCACAGTGTGGCTGGAAGGTTTAGGTTAATTGAAAAATCCAATGACCTCATCAGCAATAGAACCCACAACCTTCTGGCTTGTAGTAGTGCCTCAACCAACTACTCTGCTGCATAGCCCAATACCAATGATAATGTAGATATAATTACATGATGTTTGGCTAGGAAAGCATATGAATTTAAAATCTGTACCTCCTTTTACAGGGACACATGTTGTAAGGGCCTAAGAGGGTTGTCATTCAAATATTTCTCAAAATCTGTACCCTTGATATATTGGGTTTCTGGACTTTATCCTTCGTCCTGGTTTTTAAGATAACAAATAAAAACACGACGTTTCGGAAACTGGATCTTTTTCCGTCCTCAGGTGAAGGAAAAGGGAAACACCTATTCTGTTGGGTCCATTAGAAAGAGCTAGCCTCAATCACTGGACCAATCCAGAAACCCAATATATCAGTGTGTTATACACCATCGTCAGAATCCTATAGTAACCATCTGTACCCTTGTTTGACCTGGTGGCAAAAAGAACATGTAACTAAGAAGTGTCGTGACAGCGCTGTGCAATACACACATGGGGCATGGTATTGGAAGTGAATGGAATTTGCAACACATTAGATCAGACCTTTTATTGCTGTAAGACTGGGAATGGGCTTTTGTCACAAACCCACTTTACAGTCATCCTTCAAGGACTTGTACTAGCATTATATAATTGCCATCAATTAATTTTTCATATTCCCTCCTACTTTATCTTTTGTGGGTTTAGAATTTCTCCTCGGCATGTCTCTGTAAAACATCCTCAGTCTTTGTTGTTACCTCAGGACACTATTGCTTGTTTCACAGTTTGTTCTATCCACATGATTACTGCATGTGTTTAACATGGAAGGTATTTTAAGAAATTCCTATCGACTCCAGAAAAGTGCGTGGGTTTTCTTGATTTAGTTGTAGGGATTTTGACTCAGTAACATATGTCCTATAATGTTATATTTTAGCGTCCTGTTGCACTGATTTAAGTTCATGATTTGTTTAATCCGTCTTGCAGTGCGTACACTTATCTATCTTCTTCTCTCACTCTCACTACATGTTTCGGCATAAAAATGCCATCTTCAGGTGCTACTCAATTCACGTCAAACTAGTACATTGTATGCCTTGTCTTCACTTTAAAATAACTAAAATATATGTCCATCATATATATTGACAAATGTCAATCGTAAAAATATNGTAATAAGATACGACGTAGCGATCGGGAATCCTGAACAGTTTTAATATTTTTACGATTGACATTTGTCAATATATATGATGGACATATATTTTAGTTATTTTAAAGTGAAGACAAGGCATACAATGTACTAGTTTGACGTGAATTGAGTAGCACCTGAAGATGGCATTTTTATGCCGAAACATGTAGTGAGAGTGAGAGAAGAAGATAGATAAGTGTACGCACTGCAAGACGGATTAAACAAATCATGAACATATGTCCTATAGACAGCAATGTGAAAGCTTTAAAAGACAATCTGTTTCATGAAATCCTGTATTTTCTTATTGTCTCCAGCTTTCTAAGCTTGGCAGGTGAGTTCAGACATAAATATAGCATATAAATATTAAAAAGCCCTTTGCACACCTAATCAAATGTAATCTGTTTTCTGTAAGACTTATTTTCCTATAATGGAAGGTTTTTGAGTTAAAAATTGTACACTGAGGCAGTTGCAGAGAAAGAGGAAGAAAAATGTAAGATCATTTGCAATACATTGTACATATAAATAGGGTGTGTATATTTTCAGGAATTTGATGCAATGCTGAAAAATTCCATCCCAGAAATTCAGAGGTGTAACTTGACAAATGTTGTACTGCAGCTCCTTGCTCTTGAGATAGACCCATTGACATTTAACTTCCTGGATAAGCCACCAAAAGAGGTAAGTGGTTGTGGTGGTGGCAGCGGCGCCACATTGTTGCAAGTACACAAAATGAAATTGTAATTGAATACCCTGTTTCTGAATCACCTGTAAGCTTGCATGAACTTTTGTCAGTATAAGAGTAGGATTTATGCATATTATCTGGAAAGTCTTGTTTACTTGTTTTATTTTAGTCTTTGGATAAGGTTTACGATTCTGTATGTATATTTAAATAAGGAGTAGCCCACCATTATGTCACCTACTATAAAGAAGTTGTGTTCCTGGATTATACAGAAGTTCTTCACATCGTTGAAGCCATAAGTTTTACATACTGAAATTTATATCCTTTTCAGTTAGTGAATGGTGCACTGCAGCAGTTGAAACAACTTGGAGCCATTGATACAGTGGAAGGCACCAAGCTAACCGAAATGGGGCATCAAATGGCTCTGTTTCCTCTTGACCCACGCTTCAGCAAGATTTTGCTCTCAGCTAAAGATTATGGTTGCTTGTATGTACTGCCATATTGAGTATTTTTCTCTAAGGGTGTCTATTATTATTATTATTATTATTATTATTATTATTATTATTCACATTCTTGTAAAAGTATTTTTGAAATGCACAAATAGCAACCTCTCGGATGTGACCTTTCTCAAGTAGTGATTTCACCAGAAAGAAGGCCGGAAGTCATCACTGAAGTTTATTATTTGATGTATTTGTAAGCCAATATAATTCAGTTCACAATTCATTTATCTAAGATATCATCATTATCCAATTACTGTATATTTAGGCCTTTCCCCTTCAGAACCCCAGTTTTTAAACTGCAGTATTTTGGAAAGAAGTTCCATGCGGTGTCCACCAGATGTGTAGGAAGCAATGAAATATGCACATTTCCTTCTGTGTGAACCTATGAATGTAGGTTTGTTACCATTTTGAGATTCTGTGAGAGCTAATGTCAGTGTGGCAGTGTATTCATAAAACTCTTGTGTTGTCTGAATATAATTACACTAACAACCTCTATATTACAACTGTCACAACACAACTAATATCGAGATCAGTGCCTAGTTTTGGCTCTGCTACATATTTCGGCTATCAATAGCCATCATCAGGCAAATACACGGTTAACATATATACACCACTGAACTGCAGTACTAGTAAAACTGGATACAGTACTATTAATTATATAAAACACTTGACGCAAAAATACAATAAATCAGATTATATAAAACAAGTTATAGTACAGGGTTATTCAAAAAGAATGAACCGATTTTATTATGCAATATTTTATTAAAGGAAAGTAATACAAAACTCCAGCCAAGTTTTGGATACCCATGAAACTGGTTAGGCTGAATAAAATGTGTTTAAACGAAACTTACTATAAAGTCCATATAGGTAAACATTTGTCTGATAAATATCCTATCCAGAATGGTCTAAAACAAGGAGATGCTTTATTGCCACTCCTTTTCAACTTTGCTTTAGAATATGCTATTAGGAAGGTCCAGGAAAACCAGGTGGAACTGAAATCATTTGGAACACATCAGCTGTTGGTCTGTGCCGATGATATGAATCTACTAGGTCAATGGTTCTCAAATTGTGGGACATGACCCCGAAGGGGGGCGCAGCATACTTTCCTACAGATAAAAATTAAAACTGCCCTAAATCAATTAGAAAAGTAACAAAAAATAAAAATACATACAGAAAAACTTTTGATGAGTACAGGCTCTAATTATCATGAATTTCAAAATAACTAATAATTATTCTCTTTACCGGCAATTATAAAACGCATATGCCAGAGACAGTGTTGATAGTTCGACAGCAGCCGCATCCTCTTCAAGGCGGCACTGTACACGCGCAGCTGAAAGCAGCGACGTATGTCATCTCATTGGCGCCTGTTGGGCAGGGAGCAGGCAATTTGTCGCCAGACTCAGTGGTGATCGACGGGTATGCCTGTTTGATGTTGTGTTCTTATGCATTCAACATTTAAGTGCAGTTGTGCTGATTTGTTTACCTCTTAAAGTTGACTTGATTATGAACAGTTGATCATGAAGCATTTCCTGATTAGTGATAGAAATGAAGACACCAGTGCTCCTTCAACTAGTGGTGGGAAAGAAGCTACTCAGAGTGTGAAAAGGAGAATGTATGATGAGAACTATTTATCACTAGGCTTTACGAAAACTGTGATCAGTGATGAAGAACGTCCGCAATGTGTAATCTAAGTATTTTAGCTGCAGATAGTATGAAACGTAATAAATTAAAGAGACATCTAGAAACCAGACATCCAAAGTTTACAAATAAACAAAAAGATTTTTTGTTAGAAAGCTTAGTGGTTTAAAGTCCACCCAACAGAAATTTGCTGAAACAACAACTGTGACTTCCAAGGCCCTTTTAGCCTCTTACCAGGTTTCTCATAGAATTGCTAAATACAAGAAACCACACACAATTGCAGAAACACTGATTTTACCAGCAGTGATTTACATAGTATCAACAATGTTGGGTGACTCTTCTGCTCAACAATTGAAAAATATCCCCCTCTTTAAAGACACAGTTTGTAGAAGAATTTCAGACATTTCTGACGATTTACATCAGCATTTAATTGAGAAGTTGCGTCACAAGTGCTTTGCACTTCAAGTGGACAAAGTGACTGATATTCATAAAGATGCTCATTTGATTGCGTACGTTCGTTACAAGGAAAAATTAAAGCTGTTGCTCCCGAAGTAGTATGGACTCACTGTATGATACATTGGGAGTCTATGGCAGCTAAAGAACTCAGCCCACCCCTTCACGAAGCGCTGCAGACGGTTGTAAAAACCATCAGTGTTATCAATACAAATCCTCTGAAGTCTAGACTTTTTAAAATGCTGTGTGAGGAAATGGGTGCTGAACACACTGCTCTGTTGTTTTTTTAGTGATGCTCAAGGACTTTCAAGAGGCAAGGTATTAAAGAGAATGTTTGAGCTGAGGCATGAGGTGCTCTGTTTCTTAAATTGGGGAAATCACTCACTGGCAGGCAGTTTCAGCAACAAGGATTTTTTTGTTTAAAATGGCTTACCTCACAGATATATTTGAGAAACTAAATGTCCTCAACACTTCACTTCAAGGGAATGAGGCAACTGTGCTTTCTTGGAATGACAAAGTGAAAGCATTCATGAGAAAATTAGAGCTCTGGAGAAACAGTATGGAAAGTGACACACTAGACGTATTACCTACTCTGGTGTCAATTACCATTGACACTGATAATCCAGTGCTTCCAATGGACATAAAAAACTGCCTACTTGATCATCTCATAATGTTGAAAGTTCATTTCGAGAAATACTTTTGCAGTGATTTTGATTAATTTAATTGGATTAAAAATCCATTCGAAAATGCTCCTGGGCCATCATCTCTGAATGTAAATGAGCAAGAACAACTCATCGATCTCACTAGTGATACTTCATTAAAAAGTAAATTTAAGGACTTGTCTTTGTTGGAGTTCTGGATACATATTGACAAGGAATTCCCAACTTTGAGCCAAGAAGCATTGAAGATCGTGATTCTTTTTGCAACAACTTACTTATGCGAGACAGGCTTTTCTGTTTTGGCAGCTATAAAGTCAAAGTATCGTTCAAGGCTAAATATTGCTAAAGAGTGGCCATTTCTGATATTACACCATGTTTTGATAATATTTGTTCTCAAAAGGAGGCCCATCTGTCACACTGAACTTTGACATTCAAATGTTTGATTTTCTTTGCAGAAAAAAATTAAATACTTGTTAGTTAAATATTGTTTCATTTCAGTACATATTTTGGTTAATTGCAAGTGTTAAAATTAATTTTTATTGTAGGCCTAATATCGTGATACTTCAATTTTGAGTGAAATGACTGCTAAATAATATGTAGAAAAAAACAAAATAATCTGAATAAAACGTCAAACATACCATAAATTCTATTTTGATAAAAAAAAAGCAGGCTAGGGGCCTGAGAGTATTTTCTCTTGTCAGGGGGTGCTCAGAGGTAAAAAAGTTTGAGAACCACTGTACTAGGTGATAATATAGATACCATAAAGAGAAACATAAAAACTTGAATGGACGCAAGTAAGGGAGTTGGTCTACAAGTAAACACAGAGAAAACTAAGTATATGTTGCTGTCCCGTCACCAAAATGCAGGGCAGATCATGACATAAAGATAGATAGCAGATGTTTTTAAAATGTGAACAGTTCAAATATTTGGGAACGATGATAACAAATGAAAACCTGATTGAGGAGGAAATTAAGAGGAGATTGAACTCGGGTAATGCTTGCTACCGTTCAGTCCAGAACCTTTTGTCTTCTCATCTGCTGTCCAAAAACATAAAAATTAGAATATAGAAAAAATCAGTTTTGCCTGTGATTCTGTATGGGTGTGAAACTTGGTCTCTGACATTAAGGGAGAAACATAGACTGAGGGTGTTCAAGAACCGGCTGTTGAGGAGAATATTTTGACCAAAGAGAGATGAAGTGATAGGAGGTTGGAGAAAACTGCATAATGAGGAGCTTCATAACTTGTATTCTTTTCCAAGTATAATTAAAATGATCAAGCCAAGGAGGATGAGGTGGGCAGGGCATGTAGCACGAATGGGGGGAGACAAGGAATGCATATAGGATATTGGTGGGAAAGCCAAAAGGAAAGAGACCACTGGGAAGACCAAGGGGTAGGTGGGTGGACAATATTAAAATGGATCTTAGAGAGATAGGATGGTATGGATTGTATTTGTCTGGCTCAGGATAGGGACCAGTGGAGGGCTCTTGTGAACCTTTTGGTTGCATAAAATGCTAGGAAATTCTTGAGTAGCTGCAGATTTGGCTTCTCTTCAAGAAGGGCTCAGCTCCATGAGTAAGTAAATAAGTAGTTAGTTAGTTACTGGAGAGGGTGGGTTTCCCCATGCACTGAGACCTGTATTGGTCAGTTGTGCTTCCCTCTGTGATTTCTACCAGTCTCTATATCCTACCGGTACTGGTGCTTACCATCAGTCCCGCCCAGCCAGCGAGACCGGCTCTACTAGCTGAGAGGTATCTATAATGCTTCCCCCATCTACCAGAGGTATTAGAGACTGCTGTTGGGCGGGAAACGTCCGTTAATTTGGCTCAGTGACCTCCTTTGGCGCTATGAGGTTCTTTTACGTGCCGTAAAGCTACGACACGGGACCCATGGCTTAAAGTCCCTCCTGGAGGACTTGTTCCATGAATTTTTCTGCCCTTAATTCGATGACCTCCACCGGGTATTTGAACCTGCGTACTACGAGTCATGAGGTGGGAACGTTACCTCTAGACTATGGAGGCCACAAAGTAAATAAGTAATTAAGTAAGTAAGTAAACCCAACAGCAGAAACAAGAAAACTAACGACTCTGAAGTACGGCAGTTGCATGTTCTGGACATTTGCGGTCAGAGATGTACAATTAAATTCCTTCTTCTGGGCTGTAAAATATAATTGATGTCCAGTCTCATAGAGGAGGTGACTTTAATATGGGTCTGGGGTTTAGTTGCTAGTGAAGTCAGGAAAATATTTTTGATAAGTGAAAGGACAAGATGAAAGTTTAATATTAAGAAATTAAGAAAGTAACTCATGCCACAGTACTGAGCCTTAATTAAGCTGATGTTACTCATTGTGCTGTTCAGAAATTCCTTGCTGTATGAGATTGAGATACGCATCACCATCCTCACAATGTGTATAATTTCTGTCTATGATTTCAGAGAGGAAATTCTAAGCATTGTGGCCTTGTTGTCAAGTGAATCTGTGTTTGTTATACCACCCAGCAAACGTGAGAAGGCAGTAGCTGCACATACGAAGTTTTTCTCTTCATCAGGGGATCACATCACTCTTCTTAACATATACAGAAGTTTTAGCGCAGTTACACAGAAGAAGGTATGTACAGGGTTTGAATAAACATTACCCCTTAAATGAGCGAAGTATCAACCTTATTTTATTATATGCTGTTCTTAAAACAATCTATAATCATGGGGTTAATATGGAGGAGTGGGTGGAATGAGGATTAGCAGGGAAACTGAAGTACTCAAAAGAAACCTGCCCTAGTGTCATTTTGTCCACCACATATCCCACATGACCTAACCCGGGATCAGACATGGGCTGCAGCAATGGGAAGCTGGTGACTAACAGCCTCAGTTACGGCACTGTCCATTCCAAGTATGCTGGAACACTTTCAGTAGTTACAAGGAGAGATCATGTATTATCTAGACAGTCGGCTTAAAGATGGCTATAAGGTTGTCAGCCTTATGCACTGGCCGCGCTTTACTCCCCAGGAAAATTATTTAATTAATTCCTGGTACTCATTTGTGTTAGAGATTGAGTCGACCCCAGGGCCATAGTGCGGCTGGAAGTATTAGGTAAATTGAAAAAATCCAGTGACCTCATCGGGACTTGAACCCGCAACCTTCTGGGTTGTAGCATAGTTCCCCCTCTAAACCTTAAGTATTTATATAATTATCCCCACATTAACTTTTAATCGATAATCAGGAATGTGGCTTGAAATTTTATTTCAGCTTCAGCCAATGAGGAAATTGTTGGGTCATCTCTTGTGAGTGGCCAGTCCGGTGCTAAATTAAGATTTTATATGAGAAATCTGAATATGTTAGAATGTGCTCTGAAAAATCAATGCAGTTTGGATGGTTAAAGAATTGCCCCACACTAGTTGAATCCTGAAAATTTAATAACTCTGTCATTCGTAATATCAAATCCAAAAGGAGACTGGTGTATACCTATGCCAGAATTGCAGTGACCAAGTTATAAATTATTTTAACATCTGTTTAACCGGTTAACTTCATGGAGCTGAGTCCTTGAGAAGCCAGCAGCCACTCAAAAAATTCCCAGTATTTTATGTAAGCTGAAGGTCCATTACTGTGTTTGTAAGAGCCTGCCACTGGTCCCTGCTCTGAGCCTTATGAAGCCATTCCACACCCCAAACTCCCATTCTATTTCTCTAAGGCTCATTATAATGTTATCCTCCCATCTTATGCGCAAGTCTTAATAGTGGTGTGCCTCCGTCAGGTTTTCCTATCAAACTCTGTGCACTTACCGTGGATCCCATGCATGCTACATGCCCTGCCAAACATATCCTCAGTTTGAGCCTTCTCACAATATCTGGTTAAGAGTAGAAATTATGCAGCTCCCCATTTTGCAGTTTCCTTCAGCCTCCTGCTACTTTATTCCACTTAGATCCAAATATTCTCCTGAGCACTGATCCCAAACATTGTTAGTCTCTGTTCTTCCCTTAATATGAGAGACCAATTTTCATGACTATACAGAACTACAAGCAGAATTACAGTTTAATGTATTTTAATCTTTAAATAGTGGGTTCAAAGGTAGAAGATTCTGAACTGAATGGTAGAAAGAATTCGATAAATGTAATCTGTTCTTAATTTCCTCATGACGCATATTTTGATTTTTTACCCTCATTCCAAAATACTTGTGAACTTTACCACATTTCCAGACAGTCTGTTATATTCTTTATGTTAATGATTTTGCCCAACATTCTGGTGATGTGACATCAATATATATTTGGTTTGCTCTGTGTTTACTTCTAGACCATCCTTCTTACTAGAATCTATTAAGAGTCTCTGTGGGTTTCTTTGTGGTATTTATGTTACCCCATATCATCGGCACAGACCAGAAGACAATGAGTTCCATTCAGTTTCAGCTGTACCTGGTTTTTGTAAACTTTCCTAATGGCATAAAGCGAAGTTGGAAGGCGTCTTGTTTCAGACAGTTGTGAACAGGAAACATTTATTTAGAAGTATAAAGTCCAGGTTAGGTTAATAATCATATCACTGAATAGACCATACTTTCCGAGTGAACTGTTAGAAATAATTTATTTCGTAGTGAAATTTTGATAAATAAATTTAATTTAGTGTGTAGTGTTGTGGTTTCTGCAACTGCCAACTGAATAGTAAATCCCCACCAATGTTTCACCACCAAAACTGAATGATGATTTCGGCATGATATGGCTCCCATGTGACATTGGCAGAACATGCCCATTACATGCTTCCTGAGATAAGGATCCATTTCTACTACTTCTTCATCCAGTAAGGTTCACAATTAAAAGATCTCCATAATTACACATCCCAGGCAAAACATATGTTCTTTATGTACTTTTAAACAGTGTTTTAATAGTCAGAACTGTGTAAAGAATTATCAGCCGTCTCAAAAAATGGATTTGATTTGAATTTTCTCTGTGTACCTGCATTGCCTTTAGCCTTGGCATATGTAACAGGCATTTCCATGGAGTGAAGTAGTCAGATAGTGAAGAAACCTCGTGAACTACATGAACAGTATTGTGACACTTGAATCTTGTAATAGACACTTGAAACTTAGTGCTCTGCAGGAAACAAATACTGAATTCGCACTTCAACCTTGAAAACAAAGGCAGCATGTTCCTGCAGAACATCAGTATACATCTGCAAGAGTACACAGTATCACAGCTCAGAAAACCATAATCTGCAATAATGCATCATTCCCACTTATTAAATTCAGGTTCTAGAAACAAAAGGATGTGACATTACACATCTTTTCTGTTATTTGCTGCTGTGGGGACACATTATGATATGTGTTGTAGTTACTGAATAGGCTCCTTTTTGTATTAAAAGGATATATGGTTACCTAATGGTTAACATGCTGGTCACAGTAGCCGAGCGGTCTAAGGCATGCACTGTCTTCGCTCGCTCGGAAGCCAGGATCGTGGGTTCGAATCCCACTCAGGGCATGGATGTTTGTGTGCGTTTTTCTGTGTTTGTCTACAGGTAGAGGCCTTACGACGAGCCAATCACACGCCCAAGGAGTCCTACCGAATGTGTAACATCTAGTAAACCGAAGTGAAACAGAGAGTTTCATGGAGGTAGGCCTAGGCCCAAATTGGGGCTGTAGTGCCACAAAAAAAATGGTTAACATAGCTTTATATAGGCATTATGTAACCCATATGATCTTTTAAAAATGAGACTAGACAGGATGGAAGGAATGAAACGGTCACAGACTTTGCAGATATATTGTAGGTATGCTGCTATACAATAAAGTGGACAAAATGTGGTAAAAAGGTGTGATTCTGATCCTGGGATCCTGAAAAATAATGGTAAAAATGTCATCCTAGAGGAAGGATATGCTTAGGAAGACTTAAAGAAAGAACTATTCTGTTTGTAGTTTACTTAATGGACTAACTTTGTGCAGATGTATGGAATGCATCTAAACAAGTGCAAGGCAAGCAGCAAGACTAATTACAAACATAGTTTACAATGTGCCAGCTGTTCCATATACTCATGTTGTTACTCTCATCCTTTACAATGAAGTGCAGCATTAAGATATTTTAATAGAGTTTTGGATGTTTAACATAAATTTCTTCTTAACACTTTGCGGACCGGCAATTTAAATATTTAAATCACCTTGGGGACCGCCATTTTTTTTACCTACTACCGTAACTTGTGCACTGTTCACTTTAAAAATTAATATAAAATCTCCTAATTAATTTTATGAACTAAAAATTTTTGAGAACACTTACCAATGCTCCTAGAAGTGCTTGAGGATGTGATGTTTCTCGAAAAATTCACCTCTGTGAAGTGGCATTACACAAAACTTGCAAATGTAGACTATTGTACTCCTTTTCTTGTGAACTGTGCAAACCCGGCATTGCCTAGAACAGGGGTCTCCAAACTTTTTGAACCGCGGGCCGCATTAGGTAATTCAGCACTTTCAACAGGCCAGATAAAATGAGAAATTAATAACTCTACGTATATGAGTTTTATTGAAAGCACAGAATTTCATAAACTAAATACAAAGTACGAGAGAATAAATTATCATATATTAATGACAACAGACATTAACAGCAAATGCTCATATATTCATCATTAATTATTTAGTTCTTTCTTCTTTCCCCTCACTCCACACTACATGTTTCGGCCCTAAATGGCTATCATCAGGTGTGTATTCTTACGTAGCTGTTACGTAGCTATAATATTGAAATTTCTTTAAATTTGGAAATTGCTCAGAATTCACAAATTTATAAAATTTGATCAAATTTCCATCCTTGTATTTGTCTTTAATATGATAATTTTCCTGAAGTTCAATAATTTCCATTTGAATTTGACTTGGGACATCTGCAGCATCACAGTCAAACGGATTTTGAAACAATCTAATTTCCTGAGCACTGGAATCCAAATCAGCAAATCGCTTCAGAAATTGTTCTTTCAAATCTGAAATGACTAAATTTGCAAACGAGGAAGGAAATTCATCGTCACCCTTTTATTGTAACTCTGCACAGTATAGCATATGAACAAAGTTACAGTTTTTCATTTGACTTTCCAGAAGTATCAACTTTGCTCTGAATGCCTTGATAAGTTGAAGTAAATCACAGACTAAGTTATTTTCACCCTGCAACTTTAAATTCAAATGGTTCATATGGTTCACCAGATCAGCAAAAAATGCTGTTTCCAAAGCCACTCGGTATCTGATAAAAGTGGTTCGTGATGGTTTTCCTTGGTAAGAAATATATCAATTTCATTCCTGAGCTGAAAGAAGCACAAAAGAACCTTTCCACAGCTAAGCCATCGAACCGCAGTATAATATGACAGGTCAGTAAGCTCAGAATCACATTTACCAGTACTCACTGGAAAATTAGTTCAATTGGCACATTTCTGCACAATTCTTTCTCGGGCCGGATGTGGCCCGCGGGCTGTAGTTTGGAGACCCTTGGCCTAGAAGGATGCTTCCTCTTGAAATGTTCAGTCTTCACAATTTTTGCAAGGGTGTGTTTCTGCATATCACCCAAGAATCGCCCAGGGGGGGTCAAAATGAGGCCTGTATGGGGTGGGAGTAGACGGGCCTGGTCGCACTAAGAATGTGTCTGCCGCCAGTTCTGCTGCCACCATGTGGTCTGTAGCCCAGGCTTTTGCCACGTTCAGCAGAAATGCCTTGTATTTCAATTTTGAATGAGGGTTTAGATTTTTGAAAAACAAAAATGGATTGAAAATGGCACAATTCATAAGCCACAAGGCAACTTTCTTTGTCCGCTTTACTGTTTTCTGAGGAAGAGAATAATAGGCCAAGTACTGATCGGCTCTGTCAACTCCCTTCATGAACATATTATACTCGGAAATACAAACAAGCTTCTTTACCTGTCCATGTCTCCTTTGAACATCAACCATGCTCGAATTATGAATTGTGGAAATCGTATTCGCAACACGAGTATCCCCCCAGGACTGAAGAAGAATATCCCCTTCCTTCTGAATGTAGTTTCAGCACATTTCAGGGGTTTACATTCCTCTTTCAGATCTGGAGGAAGGCCTCTGTTCACCCTAAGTGTTCCACAAATGTACTTTTCTCTAAAGTAGGTGTTCTGCAGTTGTCACACTGTTATAATAATTGTCTTGATAGACATGGTAATTTTGATCAAGATAGGGTTCCAAAACTGAAAGAATAGTTTCTTGTAATTTCTTTCCTTCACCAAAATAAAATTCTAAATTTCCAATATAGCCTGAAGTGCTTTCAGTAACTACACGAACAAGTAGGTCACACTTTGTAAGTTTCCCAGGATTATATGCTCGCATATTGCACTACTCACTGACAGCTTGCTATGTACAGCTTGAAGAAATAAAGGCATTTATTTTCCTTTGCAGGGGCATACAGTTACAGCGAGGTCACATAACTGATTAGTCAGCAAACATTCCAGAGGCTTATTACGCGGCTGCAGGCAGTTACATGCGAGCTGGGTAGTGTCAGAGCGATGTATAGTGTGTTGCAATTTATCGTGTTCTAAAAACGTATTAATACTCGACTGGTCCGCCATGTTTAAAAGCGAAGGATGTATTAATGCGTGCACAGTCCACAAAGTGTTAAAATGAGTTTTCAAATACAGCCAACTTTTCTGTAGAGACTGAATGCAAAACACAGAAACAAAGGTGCTACAACATAATATTGTTTCATACTCAGGGATAGATGTTTCTTTTTTATTTATCAAGTTTAATGTCCATGTTCTTTCATAGTCTTCCTCATCATATTAAGAAGTTCAATATTGTCATTGAGAAGAATCAAGGTTTTGTCAGTTGTAGGTATTTCAATACTGAACTGAGAGCCATGCACTTCTCTCCTAAGGCAGCCTTAACACACACATTATTATTATTTGTTATGATTTTCCTTTTGATTATTTTTTGGGAGGGTGCATCTAAACCTGATGCATTTATATGCCTTTAAAATCATGAACACACTACTCATTCCTACCTCTGTCGAATTTGCCACGTTTTGCTGTGTATCATGATTGCTGTCTGAGAGATGACCTTCATCAAAGTTTTTTTACACCCTTAATAATTGTCACATTTATATGTGTATGGAAACCTCTCCTTTTGGTATGTTTCTTCACCAGAGATAGTCCAGAAAGCCTCAACTGGTGATTTTTAGCCGTGCCAAAGAAACAAATCACTTCACCATGCCACTTTTCAGAGTTTTCAGATTCAGAGTAAGTCTTCTAGGGTGCAATACCATATGTGTTTTTTGTGGGAGGTGCATTCCATGATACTGTCAGTAGTTTTGAATGGTAGGATGATAGACAAATGATGAATTGCAAGGATTTGGAAGGAGGCAGTCATGGCGTAAGTTGAAGTACTATCCAAGAATTTCCCCTGAGGAATTGAGTAAGACCACAGAATACCTCAATTAGGGTATGTGATGTCCCAGCCAAGATTTGACTCAAGTCTAAAACATAATCCAAAATGTAGCCTGGTAGATCATTGCTAATGTTTCAGAGGAACCTGCTGTTCTGTCTGTAGGATAGACCCCCTACCCTGAAAGTGGAGGCAGCACATTCCTTCTAAACAACACCAGCAGTGTACCAGACTACATGGCGTTACATCCCATAAGACACAGTGTTCATTTACCACCATAAGAATCTCATATCTTGTATAGTAGCTGTTGTTACTGCATTTACACATGAGCACATTCAAACAACACACACTATTCACTGTATCCTAACATGCTACTGATGCAATGAAGAGAGCCATTATGTATATCATGAAGAGTCCTTACCCAGTTTGTAAACCGAAAACAGGCAGACATGTTGTTTTCTGTTGTTATGCATCTGTAGAAATTCTGAATAGATTATATTGCAGGAAAGGATTATTATTATTATTATTATTATTATTAGATATTTTTCATTTTGTTTGCGTATTGAAACAAATTAAATTTTCCAGCAATGGTGCCATGAGAATTTCTTAAATATGCGTAATCTGCAGTATGCAAGTGAAGTTCGCTCTCAGTTGGCTGAGCTTTGTCAGCGGTGCAAGATGCAAATGTCTTCTTGTAACCAAAATGTAGATCAAGTGAGGAAGTGTCTTGTAACTGGATTATTCATGAACATTGCTGAACTGCAAAGAGAAAGACAGTATCTGACTGTAAGTACTCGGCTTTCATATACTTGACAGATTTGAAGGGCTGCATGATGTCATATCCTGCTGCTGTGAATACAGCTTGGCTTGTGTGATTCTTTACTCCATAAGCTTATTGTTATAAGTACATTATGTACATTATGCTGTCAGCTCAACTGCACATTAACATCTTGTTTCATGACCCTCATAAATGAATTTGATAACAAAAATAGTACACCATTGTCATGAAATTTTAGAATTATAATCAGTGTTTATACAAGAAAGCTTTTCCCCATAATTTTCCAGGTGGAATCAAGACAGATTGTTGCTATCCATCCTTCATCTGTACTCTACAGTTTGCACCCTCACTGTGTTTTATTTACCGAAGTTATCCAGACTGGAAGTTGCTATTTGCGACAGGTCTCACAAGTGGACCCTGAATGGCTGAGGGACATTGTGCCAGAATATGTGCAGCAACATAGACTTCTAACTTTAGTCAGTTAGCGTGAGATAAATGAGAGTTTCAAGTTAGTCGTTAAAGACTTTCAGAGTGACTTTTACTTCTTTAAATCCTTAACATGAGATATTTCTGGTGTGGTGTAGGGCTTAGCATTTGTTTTAGTTGATAACAGCAGTTAGTATGTAAACTTCAGGTACTGATGTACAACAGCTTATGCAATGTGTAAAGACAAGAATATTATCTGGCAAGGTATGTGTTAGGTTGTGCCTTGTTTCAGGCAGTTAATTGTCAGTTCATGAAGGATTTATGGTGGATAGAGTGTAACTGCTGCAGGTTTTCTCCAAGAACTTCGGTTTTGGCTACCAGTTTTTATTCCATTAAATGCTCCATTTCTTTTCTGTATCATCTGGTACAGTGGGTCATTTATGGCCAGTGTATGAAGGGACTCAGTCTCACCACACTCTAAGAATAAAAATGTGTTTTAAACATAGTGTTATAAACACGTATTTCCTGGACAGGATGCCCAAGTTGCAAGGCTAGGCTGATGAATCTCCAGCCAAGTTTGATTGTGTTGTGTTCGTTCAGATTTTTCCAGGTACATGCATCTTTTTTCTAAAATTTTTGTATTAAAAACTGGCAATACTTCTTATTCAAGACTTTGATCTGAGTAACAGAGGGCAACAAGAATTAATAAACAAACCAAGCAGTAAACTTGGCAGCACCATTCATGTGAGCTGTATCTTTGTTTACTTTACTATTAAACAGGAAACTGAGCCATGACCAGGATTTTTGGTGAGTGAAAGTTGCAACTGAGACTGGAGGAAAGAGGATTTTTTAATTTAATTTTCTTTCTTTTTTTAATAAAAACTGTAATAAGATAGTTCACATGCACATTGGTGACTGGAACACGTGTAACCATGATACGATCCATGAACCACACATCTCCACAGTAAAGAGAAAGCAGAGCATTAGAGGAGTACCATGGCACACATACACCTTCTTACCTAATTTTATAAAGGTTTTGAATCATTTTATATATTAAATTTAATAGGCACCAAAAATTGATCAAATAATAAACTTTCTAGATGGGCAGCCTTCACAGGCCATACACTATACTACACAGCAACAATTTATATAAATCATTATATGTACATGGTGATCACAGTGGTTGCGCAATCTAAGGCATGAAATGTCTTCATCTGCCCAAACACTGGGATTGTAGATTTCAATCCCTCTCGAGGCATGGATGTCTGTCTTCATTTTTCTGTGTTTATCTTGTCCTGTATAAGTACCAGCCTTGCGATGGGCTGATACCCCATTGAAGGAGTCCTACTGACTGTCTTCAAGGTTAAAGAAACTGAAGTGAAACTGTTTTACAGATAGCCTGTTCTACAGAGGGAGCGACAAATATTACAGTACATTACAATTGTATATACCTGGTGTTGGCCTTGTGTGGCCAGAATGTGTTATTAACAAAGGTGTGATTCAAGTAACAATCAGTGAAGCTGCCTTATAGACTCTGCATGCATGTGTGTTTGTGAAGTGATCACAATAATTACTGTGGTGTTTGGGCAAAAAGAAGAGGAGAAATGCTGGACAGAATCCCTGCCAATTTTATGTTCTCCATAAACACAGTGGAGGATCAGAGGAAACCCTGAATGGTGATTGCAGATCAGTTTTGCTTACATACACAGAGTCACTTTAAGCACTGAGACAAGTATCCCATTGAGTTGACAAGCACTTAAAGAATTTCTTATAGAATTTAGCAGTCTTATACAAGCCAATGATGACCAGGGCCCAGATTTTGATGACCTGAAAATATTTAAAATATGACCCAAAAATGTAATATGTCAGAATAGCTACTAATTATTTTAAAATGTATTTTTAATCTTTATTGACACTGAACTCATCTTTACTCTTTTAAGTTTGTCCTCGTTACTTATGAACCGTAACCATTGTAATTATTCTATCCACCATATACCTGTTATATTAATAATATCTAATACATCACACCGTCATATACAACACCTCCCCCCTTTTGATAAGGACAAATTTAAATATTTAATTAAATTTAAATATGATTTAGTTTTTCGGGGTCTGAGTGACCGTCGAGGTGTGTTTTCTTCAACTAAAGCTTGTAATGGGATTTCTTCCTGTGCTACATATAAGCTTCCGATACTAGTTTTGATATTTATGTTTACTGTGTTGCCGCTACCACTTGTTCCTGAGCAAGCCTGAATGTCTGTTAGTGCCTTGAGGCTTCTTAAAGGTGTAACGCGTCCCCTTAAATATCTATATAATTTATATACTGCATAAAGGGCAATTAAACTTAATAAAATATATACTATAGCGGATTAGGTGGAGTGTTTCAGTACTTGATGATTTTTCCACTGCTGATCCTCAATTTCCTTCTCTAATTCTGATATTTTGTAACTTGCGTGCTTCAGATTGTCTAAGTGTGATGCAACCTGTTTAAAATCAATATTAGCAAGTTTACTGGTTGTATTAAAGTGAAATTTAAGTTCCTCTAAGCAGTCAAAATCAAGTGGTGCCTGTGAAATTATCTCATCTCTACTGATGTCTTTAACCTTGAATGTTACACTAGTTTGCAATAGTGCGACAGAACTATACCCTTTACAACCAGCATTTAACCCAAACTTTCCTACACCTGAGAGTGTAACGTCTACAGGTTCTTTATCATTACATAACACTGTTACACTTTCAGAGGTAGGCGTGAAATTTAACCATTCGTTATTATCATTGTACTCTTCTCCAAGTATAATTAGAATGATCAAGTCAAGGAGGATGAGGTGTGCAGGTCATGTAGCACGAACGGGGGAGACGAATGCGTATAGGATATTGGTGGGAAAGCCAGAAGGAAAGAGACCACTAGGGAGACCAAAAAGTTATCGGTGTACAATATTAAAATGGATTTTAGAGAGATAGGATGGGTTAGTATGGACTGGATTGATCTAGATCAGGATAGAGACCAGTGGATGGCTCTTGTGGACACGGCAATGAACCTTCGGGTTCCATAAAATGCTGGGAAGTTTTTGAGTATCTGCAGATTTGGCTTCTCCTTAAGAAGGGCTCAGCACCATATGTAAGTAAGTAAGTAAGTAACTGTTTTAATGGTACGGCTTGCCAGTGTGTGTGTGGAATGGCAAGGCGTGAAATTGATAGTGGTTTTACCATGACCCATGTTTGTTGTGCTGACAACTTGAGCTATCTGTGAGAGGCCTGATTATATATTTTATTGTACAAAGGACAAATGATATGTAGTCATCATGACTTTGTATTATGTGACATATTTTATATCCAGCCCTACAGGGAGATTATTGGATCCATGAAGTGAAAATAAATGTAATGTAATGTAATGTAATGTAATGCAACATCATCCTACACAATATATACTATATCTGGTAGCCTGCTTCCACTGCATGCTGTCCATATGCATCGTCTTCGCAATCATGGCTGGATTCATCCAGTGATACCTGCTATTCACCAGAGTAATCGTAAACCCCAAATGACTAGAGGCACAGTTCACAGTAATATTTGTAGGGGTAAACATGACATTTTTCCCACATCACTTCCTAGGCCTGGCCTGTTGTGGTCTTGTAGGTGGATACCAACATTTCAGAGGAACTTGCTGACTCCATGTCACTGAAGACAGGGACATCACCTTTAAAAAATTGTTATCCACCCACAAAACTGCATGGTATCATAACCTAAAAGACCACAATGTGGATCTTCACTGCTGTGATAACCTCAAATCTTGCACAATGTGATTTGCTTTATGAAGCTGACTGGTTAAAATTCTGCCTGTCTTTTGAGTGGCCTGTGGAATTTTGTTATTCTTTTCAGTGTCTTCTTGTTAACATTAAGACACTCAACTAAGCCAGTGTTTAATAGTGAGCTTGAATAATGGGCACAGTGAAAGGGCAAAGAGCAACTCCACTAATATGTCTTGAACTTTCCACGTAGTATTACTCTCATGGCCCTTCAAATATTATTCAAAGACCAGGAAATGTATCACTAAAAGAAGGTCCAAAAATATTAATATAAGCCACAAATATTTCAAAATATTGTTCATAGTGAGTTGTTCATCAGAGCTTGGTATGGTGTAATGACTGGAGGAACTGGATGTCTAGCATGTACATAAATGTAAAATTCCTGTCCATCTCCTCTTTCCTACTGTGAACCTAACAGAGAACACCCAAAGACATTATGAAATTTACTCCATACACTTGCCAGTATGTATAGTAACCATGGCTGTTAAAGTGACATGACAAGTATTGCAGAAGAGATTTCAGATATCATTTGAATCCCCATTTCCCTATCTTTTCTTTTAATTGCATGTGTAAATTTTAATGTATTAATTTGAGTGTTATTCCTGCATTAACGTTTTAGCTGCTAAATACAGCGAAATTGAGAGTGATTGCAATTAGATCCTGGGCAAAGAATGGATACTTCTGTTTAAAATACTATAATGACCAAACAAACAATGTTAGATTCTGTATTCATATAGTTTTAGATTAACTACTATACAGTTTGTATGTTAAATGTTTGTTTTTGTCTTTATATTTTATTATAAATATTAATTTAATAATAATTACATTGAAACAAAAGCCAGAGGCAGACAACAGATAAGGAATTTTGGAAAGGTACTTAAGGAAAAACAATAGCTGTAAATAATGTTTTTAAATAAAGTGAAATTTAGAATTTGTTATCATAGTCAAAAGGAAATAACAAACTGCTATGGTGTTGTGCCCAGGTAGGGGGCATTGACTGTACTCGCCCCCTATCGGACATCCGTGGATATCTCTTAACCTATGCTATGGGAAACATGCTTGCCCTAGGGGAATCCAAAATAATTTAAGTACTCGCCAACAACAATAAAGTACTGTATAATAAAACAAAACACTAGTACATCAAACAACCTGGCTATACACACAGGACCTTCGATTAAACCCCTGGTTTTAAAATCCTACCTTTTAACTACCCATAATATACTAACCCTAAATGACACAAATCAACAGTTTGTATTTATTTCTCAAATAACCATTGAACCAAAAGCTGTAATCAGCAATCAGTGACCCGACCACGGGCAGGTACTCATGCTGAACAGGATGTACAAGAAGAACACTGGCGCCATCCCAAGGTTTTCCCCAGGCACACTTTGATCTACATGTCCATGTCTCGCAACTGCTAGATACGGAGTGCCTGAAACGCTCTGTTTTTTTTTCCAATCCAAAAATTAAACTTTTTTCCCAAGTCGTGAAAGCTGTGCGCGCAAAATCCCTGAGGTCGGCAACTTGCCGGACATACCTTGTCGCGCAAAGCGAAACCTGACCAGGTCTTTCCACTGATGTGTAAACAGTCTTTTCTAAAGACAAAGAGTCAGCCGCGCCTCTGTCTCCTCGCCTTCTGGCCAGCCGTCTGGTATTTTAACCTAAGCATCCAATCTTACAAAAATTATCCTTAATAACTA